TACACTTAAAAAAAAACTTGTAATTTTAATAATTGCCATTGTAAATGGATTAGCATAAACATTACACCATCTAAAACAAGCTTTAAAACATCAAAACAGTTTAGGGTAATGTTTCTAGTCCATTTCCAACAACAAATGTGCAAACTTTCATACGAGCAGAAAACAGAAAAACAATTTTTTTTCAAGCTGTTTGCACACAAAAAAAAAACAACAAACAAACCTAGTCTCTGATACCACTGATGGGTTTTGAGCATTCTAACACTTCCTAAGTGTACATGCAACCCTAATAACCTTGGATCTATGTTTGTCTAATAATCATGCAAAGTTGAATTCCAAGGTTATATTCCTATCTAGCATACATGGGGAACATTTTTAACTTGAATGAAAGATAGAATAACTTACCTTGTTGTTGATTATGATCCTTGAAACCTTGTGAGCCTAGCACCCCAAGTGTGATGCCTCAAATGCTTCACACAACACCAAATGCAAAGGAGTAAACTTTGAGAGAATCTTACACTTGCAAAATCGGCTCTAGCCCTCTTGTTTCTTAGTGTGTAGCCTATTTTGGTGGAGAATGGGTTTCTTATATAGTGTTGACATATCTAGGGTTACACCATGTAAACCCTAATGTGTCATGACTCTTCATTTCCATGACCCATGGGTTTGTAACTCCCATGGAGCATCCATGGAGCATCCTATGGGTGGAACCCAACTTGATAATCCATGGAGCCTCTTAGCCCACTATATAAGATATGGAAGATTTACATAATCTACCCATATATTTAATTAGTTATCTTTTGATCACTTAATTAATTCTAAATTAATTCTTGATCAAACTAATTAAATAATATTATTAATATATTAGAACTTATAATATATTAATAAACCATAAGTGTTATTTCTCTCATTTTAGTTTATCCAATTGCATGGTGCCATGCAACCCAAATGGACCATGCCGGGTCGGGTCAAGTACATACCAGAAATAGTTATGGACTTAGACACCTTATCCAACAGCACTCTCATCTTTTCCATTCTTTAAAAGTTTTTAACTTTTATTTTTAAAAACAATTTTACCATTTCCTTAGTTTGAGTCCTGGCACACCCGAGAGTGTGCCCGAATCCCTCAGTGGGATCTAAGGTCCCAAACTTCAGATTCAAACTCCCCTGGTGCAAATACCACATAAAGTTGCAAACTTTACGTGCATGCAAGGGCCTTCAAGGCTATAACATCAAAACTAGGCTTCTTACAAGGTTTTTGTGCATGGAAAGGGGCTAAGCTATATAAAGTGAGCAACTTTATGTCATTGGGGACCTAGAATGGTCCGGATTTGAAACCAAATCCTTGAGATAAGTCCATATCCGAGTTTGAATCCATTTTGCACCAAAAAATGGCCATTTACCTCCAAGAAAAGGGATTTAATCAACTACAGATCAAGGTGACGACTTTATACCTCAAGATGATGGCCAATACATAGTAGATGTCGAATCTACTGCTTCTCTCCTTGCTCCTTCCTGTTCAAGCTCTAGAATCCTTCAAAAATACCCCAAAATTGCTCACAGAAGCTCTTTCTCTCACTCAAGAAGGTGTAATGTCAAACTAGGGTTTTCTCTGGCTAATAGGGTGATAAGGGAGGCCACAAGAGGCGGATTATGTTCTTTAAATAGGGTGCAAACCCTAAAAATTAGGGTTTCTCTTTACAGCTCCTACTCGTTGAGTCGGGGCCTTCCGACTCCTCGAGTAGAACCCAAATCCCGCGTCCTCATAATAGTCTCTACTCGACGAGTTGGAGCACCCCAACTCGCCGAGTCCATGCACAAAACCCTAAAAATTATATAAATTAATCAATACCTGGAACAGGTGTTACAATTTTGTAGTTTACTGCGATGCGTCCAAGCAAGGGCTAGGCTGTGTACTTATGCAACGAGGAAAAGTTATTTCCTATGCCTCGAGACAACTTAAGAACCACGAAGTTAACTATACCACGCATGACTTCGAGCTGGGAGCAGTAGTTTTTTCTCTGAAGATCTGGAGGCACTACCTTTACGGTACAAAGTGCACGATCTTCACGGACCATAAGAGTCTCCAGCACATCTTCGATCAAAAAGAACTCAACATGAGGCAACGACGATGGGTGGAACTTCTCAATTATGAATGCAAGATTTGCTATCATCCAGGCAAAGCCAATGTAGTAGCAGATGCCCTTAGTCGAAAAGAATACTCGGGCCGCCTAGTAAAGTAATTAACCATGATTATCCATTCACACCTGTCCACGCAGATTAAAGAGGCCCAGCTGGAAGCCTTGAAACCAGAGAGTGTGGCAGATGAAGCTTTAAGAGGAATGGATAAGAACCTAGAAGTTAAGGATGACGAAGTTCATTACCTCATGAACTCGAAGTTTGATGGATACATAGACGTTGTCATGGACGAAGCTCACAAGACTAGATACCCTGTTCATCTCAGTTCAGACAAGATGTATCGGGACCTCAAGAAACTTTATTGGTGGCCAAACATGAAAGCAGAAATAGCTACCTATGTAGGCAAGTGGTTGACTTACGCCAAGGTCAAGGTGAATACCAGAAGCCTTAGCGTTTACTACAACAACCAGAAATACCCTAATGGAAGTGGGAGCGGATAACCATGGATTTCATAACCAAGTTACCCAAGACAACGGGTGGTATTGACACTATATGGGTAATCGTCGACAGATTAACCGAATCCGCACACTTCCTACCAATAAAAGAAACCGACAAGATGGAGAAACTAACCATGACGTGCATTAAAGAGATAGTACGATTGCATGGTGTGCCAATATCCATTATCTCTGACAGAGATAGTAGATTTACCTCACGGTTTTGGCAATCACTGCAAAAGTCCTTGGGAACCAGACTCGACATGAGTACAGTGTACCATCCTCAGACTGAAGGGCAAAGCGAAAGAACCAATACAGATGATGGAAGACATGTTGAGAGCGTGCGTGATACAATTTAGTAAAGCTTGGGATACCCATTTACCACTCGTTGAATTCTCGTACAATAAAAGCTATCACACTAGCATCAAAGTTGCTCCATCCAAAGCCCTCTATGGTCGTAAGTGCAGATCCCCTCTGTGTTGGGCTGAAGTGGGTGACACATAACTAGCAAAGAAACAAGTTCCTGACAGCACTCTCACCGGCCCTGAGATCATAAGGGAGACAACAGAGAAAATCGTCCAAATTCGGAACGACTAAAAGCAACTAGGGACCGACAATAGAGTTGTGCGGATAAACGACAAAAGCCCTTGGAGTTCCAGGTTGGTGACCATGTCCTGTTAAAGGTCTCACCTTGGAAAGGAATGATATTTCAGAAAACATGGAAAACTAAATCCAAGGTATATCGGGCCATTCGAGATTCTTGCTAGAATCGGTCCGGTAGCTTACAAACTTCAACTGCCGCAGGAACTCAGTAACATACATCCCACCTTCCACGTGTCTAATCTAAAGAAGTGTCTATCCGACGAGACTCTCGAAATCCCACTCGATGAATTCGAGATAAACGAGAGTCTACACTTCGTGGAAGAACCTGTGGAAATCATGGATAGGGAAATCAAAAGAACTAAAAACAAAGTCGTATACCAATAATGAAGGTCCGTTGGAACGCCAAGCGAGGAACTTAATTCACTTGGGAACGAGAAGACCAGATGAAAAAAATACCCGCATCTCTTCCCTAGTTCATGAGTAACCACATTAGAAATAATTTCAGGACGAAATTCCCTCTAACGGGGGGATAATGTAACAACCGGTTATTTCAGGTCAATAAAAGTCAAACAAATTAAACCAAAGTCAAACGAGTCAAATATAAGTCAAATAATTTAATAGTTTGAATTAAAAAAAAGGAAAATTAATATTTTCTTTTTGAGGTTTTCGGTTCTTGGAATCAATCGCACCCAAACCGAAAACACTTCTTAAGCCTAGACCGAAATCCCACTTGTGACCGAGATCTAAGCCATGACCAAGAACCCCCACCGAGAACTCCCTTACACCGAAGACCCTCTAGATGGAGAACCCTTGGTTCTCGGTTGGAGCTTTAGACCGAAATCAGTTGGGATAAGCCGAAATACTTGATTTTTAAGCGGTGGCACACAATTCAAGATGATAAAATACACCTCCCAATGCAACTATCACATCATATTCACCCCATATTTATATGCTAAACCAAAATCAAGGTCCCATTTCTCATTTACATCTTCGAAATCCTTCTCATTTGCTCTCAAATATCATAAAAGCTCCTTCACATCTTCATTTCTTCAAGAACCTTTCCAGTACATCTTCAAATACATTCTCAAGAACACTTGATATCTTCTACATTTCCCAGGAAGAACAAACCTTTCAATTAATTCTTAGGAATTAATTTGGTAAGCCTATTTATATCACTTGGAGTTTATATAACACTTTATTAATAGTTTATCTAATTTATACACGGTATTATGTGTTGAAATAAATTACGATACCACTATATTCATGTGTTCTAACGCAAAGAACATCGCCACTCACACCGTTATCCAACCAATAACACACCCGAGGTGAGTTCATACCCCTACAGTTTTCATAATTTTTATATGTTTTAGGGGGGGGAATACAAATATAACACAAGAAAAATTGTGTTAGTATACAAACCATTACATTTATATTTTTATAAAATATAAATATACATATGGGTACAAATTTGATTACGATAAAACTTTAACCCTTTTGTAACAGGCTGAGCAAAAAGGGTATAATTATATATAAACATAAATATAATTATTGTTTCATTTCATTTTATTATCAGGATAACTGATAATAGTATTCAAAAGATTCACTGTTTCAAACGAAACATTTATATAAACTATAATAGATATAGTTTATGAGACATACACTCTATTTTACCAAGACAGGATACAATACGAAAAATAATTATTTAAAGGCATAATTATTTTTACACTACATAACTACTAAGGAAGGATAATACTTTTACATTACGAAATGGCTTTTCAATATGCTACACGTAAACCTTTAATGCGGCTTTGTGAGACATCCTTCACCGTACTTACCACAGTACATACTAAAGTCTCTGTATAGATCTATACGGGACTGACAATCCCGCACCTAAACTGTTAGCTACAGTTAGACCGGCAGGTCTGGGGTGACAAATGTTGTACCATTTCGACGCCTGAAGAATGTCGTAGCAGGCCATCTAGGTCATTAGCATGGTTATAATAACAAACAATGGGTATTTAACAATACGTTTGGTTTACGAATACATCATATCTTCAATTGGTTTTATTTATATAAAACTACGTTACACTATTTTCCAGTACAACACAGATTACATTTCTAGAAACATACATTCAAAGGGGTTTTACACAGATACAGTACATTATTTTATGGTACCATACAGCATACAATTTTGGAAACATGTATTTAAATAGTTTTATAAAGATATAAAACTACACTATAGACTACAAAGTACATTAATACTTATACATTTTTAGTCTTGGAACATTTAAGGCTACTTTACATTTAAAAGAAAATATTAGATTTTCTGGAAGAACACACTATCCTTTTCAAGGAAAAAAGAAATATATTTCTTATACAAAATACTTATGAACTCACCAACTTAATTGTTGACACTCTTTTCAAAACCACTTGTATTATCAGGAAATCAGTAGACAGGTACTCACACAGGCTTTGGTGAAGACGGAGCTTAGTATTGTAACGTCTTATATTTTGTTGTATGTTTTTGGAGTCAAACAATGATTCAAACACAATGTAAATATTAAATTATCAATACAATGTTTGTAATGCTTTGATATCTATTATACAATTGTTATGATACTGTACATGACGTCATCCACCCTCGGACGTTTCCGCCGTTTACTCGGTTGGGGGTTGTGACATCGATATACAAGACATGAAATAATTTGGAGCGAAATTTTTCAGTAACTAATTTTTGAACTCTCTCAAGAACATTTTCACTTCGAAAAAATATGTTTAATAATCTTCAAATCAAGAAAAAAAACATATAAATCTTCTACTCTCTCTTCATTTAATTATATTACACAGTTTCCGATCTTTTTAATCCCTAAATAAAGTCCATCTATGGAAAACATATCGTACTGTTCGATCATGTATAAAATCTGTGTAGATAATCATTTTCACTATAAGAATTTCCTTTAAACACGTTCAAAACTTATAAACATGTTGCACAATCATGTGTTCAAATTTTTTCTAAGCATTATGATGTTTGAAAGTAAGGACTTTATATTATCACTTTTTTATATTGGATTTGAAAAGCTATTACCATCGATTAGAGTTGGCAATGGGTCGACCCATTTATTAATTGGGTTGAATATTTCAACCCAACCCAACGTTTATATATATATATATATATATATATATATGTGTGTGTGTGTGTGTGTGTATGTGTGTACACATGTAATTAATAATCTATAACTTACGTAGTAATTACAAAATATACATAATTAATTCCAAAGTTGAACTCTTTGATTTGAAAGACATAAACGGTTACGAATCAGAAATATCATAAATTTCAACGAACATTACCAACATATTTCATAAACCATTCTAAAAAAGCACCATATTTTATAAAATCATGGCAAGACTTACATTCTCATTGGGCTTCATTGGCTTTTTCTTGTGCCTCATTATGTGCACCAATTCCGTGCAAATAAGATATATATAAAAAATCTCATTATTAGTGTACTAACAACTTAACAATTATTTTAGATTGTAAAATATTATGCAAATATTTGATGGGATTATGATGTTTTTGTTTTTGTTGTTTTGATAATGGATAGGGGAAAACTTGGTGTATAGCTCAAAGCCAGGCTACCGAACCGAAGTTGCAACAAGTTCTTGACTATCTTTGTGGACAACTCGACTGCAAGGAGATTCAACCTGGAGGATCATGCTTTAATCCTAACACTGTGCGAAATCATGCGTCTTATGCTATTGATCTTAACTTTCAAATTAACGGTGTATGCGATATTAGTTATGCTAATCCTGCTGTCACAGATCCATGTAAGTTCCTTTTTCTATTGGAATATTTTCTAAAGAACTGCTCTCGCACATCAAATATCGGGTGTTAGATGTACCAAATTGAAACTAATTTTGTGTTGTTTTTATGTAGCTTTCGGCACATGTGTCTACCCGTAAGTGATGAAAAAGTCGTAATCAAACGACACGTTGAAGGGAAGATCCTATTTTTTCAAATTCTTGCTGAAAAGAATGTATAAAACAATCTAATAAGTGGAAATAAAATGTTCTTTTAGTCTTTACTTGTTGTTTGATATATTATAGTGTGTGTATGCTAAGAACATCATATACCATTTTAAGAAAGTAACGTTTTTCTTCATTTTCAAAATATACGTACTCGTTTGATTTCTTTTGAGTTTAAGTGAAATGTTTTATTGTTGGTTAAATACGATTTGATGGATTTTGAAAATAAATTGGAAAAAATACTGAAATTAAGGTTATGATGTTATCCTTTTTTGGATTAAACATCGATAATATGGTTTTTTGTAAGACTTCTGTAAAGTTTATTTGCTTCCATTAATTTGCAATTATGTGTTTCCACTCAAATGATTCTTGAGTTTGTGTAACACCCAGAATCAGAAAGACCAAGAAAAGAAAGGAAAGGCTCTAAGTCAAGAGTCAACTCGTCGAGTCCAGGGAGGAACTCGACGAGTCGGAGCGGGATCTGGGGCATAGATTAAGTGACCGACTCGGCGAGTCAGCTAGTGGACTCGGCGAGTCTGGTCTGGACGAGAAAAACCCTAATTCCGAGGGTTGTGCCCTATTTAAAGAACATTACATCCCTTCCCCAGCCTCTTTACTCCCCTTTTGAGATCCAGAAACCCTAAATCGTGAGTGAGAGCCCTTGGAAGCAATTTAGAGCCTAGATAAGTGATTTTGGTGGAAAGGGGCTTGAAGATTAAGAGGCTTGCTGCAAAGGAGTGGTGTAGATCCGGGATCTACTTCAGTTGGAGCATATATTGGAGGTAATAAGCTGTTGCTTTGGCTTTATTGCAAATAGATCTATATTATGTTTGAGATTTGGGGCATTTTGGGCATGATTGAGATCTATGTCGAGTTAGAGGCCTAGATCTGAGGTTGCTACCTCAGATCTAGACTTGTGATGGTCCAGAAGGTCATAAAGTTCATGTTAATAAGTTGTTGGTGAAGCCCCTTTGTCTTAAACCCTATCCCTAGAGTGTTTTGGGCCTTTAGCTCCTTGGTTTCACGTAAAGTTTGCAACTTTACGTGGGGGGTAGACTGTAGAAGAGTAAATCTATGGATTGGAGCCCCTGCATGGCACGATAAGCCACTGTATGGATTGAGAACTGGAGAGACTCGGCGAGTCACATGGGTGTACTCGACGAGTTGTATGAATATGTGCATGGACTCGGCGAGTTGGAAGAACAACCCGGCGAGTCTGTTGAAGATTGCCTAGGACTCGGCGAGTCTGTTCTTAGACTCGACGAGTCAGGTCGCAGAACCCCCAACCTCTTCTGGTTAAGACGCAGATCAGTGAGTTGAGTGGTGACACAGTGAGTTGGACAGGATGGGACTGAGAGATCGTTGAACTCGACGAGTCCTAGGGTGACTCGGCGAGTTGGGTCGTATTTTGAGAGCTTCTGAGTTCAAGGACTCGGCGAGTCTTCGGGTTGACTCGGCGAGTCGAGTCAACTGGAAGGTTGACTTTGACCAGGACTTTGACTTTAACCAGAGTTGACTTAGTTTGACTTCTAGAGTTCAGTTTGGAACTAAGTGTTTTATTGATATTAGTAGCTCGGGGAGCTAGTGGAGCAGCGGTTCAGAAAGTGGTCGGACAGCAGCCAGAGGGTTATCAGCAAAGTTCAGCAGTGCGAGGTGAGTCTCCTCACTGTTTGTATGGGTCTACGGCCACAATGTCGACCCATTTAGCTTACGTATGGTAGGAAGACCCGGGGGTTAGCCCTAGACATTATGCATGAAAGACCAGGAGGAGGCTCCTGGCACACAGTATGTTATTATGTATGGTAGGAAGACCCGGGGGTTAGCCCTAGGCATTATGCATGAAAGACCAGGAGGAGGCTCCTAGCACATAGTATGTTATTATGTATGGTAGGAAGACCCGGGGGTTAGCCCTAGGCATTATGCATGAAAGACCAGGAGGAGGCTCCTGGCACACAGTATGTTATTATGTATGGTAGGAAGACCCGGGGGTAAGCCCTAGGCATTATGCATGAAAGACCAGGAGGAGGCTCCTGGCACACAGTATGTTATTATGTATGGTAGGAAGACCCGGGGGTTAGCCCTAGGCATTATGCATGAAAGACCAGGAGGCGGCTCCTGGCACACAGTACGTTATTATGTATGATAGGAAGACCCGGGGGTTAGCCCTAGGCAATATGTATGAAAGACCAGGAGGTGGCTCCTGGTGGTTTATGTAATAACTTGATTACTGACACTTTGGCTTGACACGAGATATTATTATGAATGTTTTTATACTGATGGTTTATGTAATAACTTATTTACAAATGAAATTTTTGGCCTTGAATTTTGGGGATGTTACAAGTTGGTATCAGAGCCTTGGTTTGAGGGATTCGGACATACTCTTAGGTGTGTCTGAACTCAAACTAAGGGCTTGGTATGAAAATTTTCAAAAGGAAAACCATTTTTATAAAAAAAATGACTTTGAAAAGAATCTGAAAAGAGAAAAGAACTTTGAGAAGAACAAAGTGTGTGATGCGTGCAATCAGCCAAGCTCAAGTAAGTTTACCCCAAGATACCCATACAAGTTCATATTATGTTTATCAGTTTCAGTAGAACATCATGCTAGAATAGGACTAAGGATCTAGGAATGATGCCTTATGTGCCTGCTTTATGTGCTTCAGCTTATGAGGATTGCATGCTAGTATTGAGTAGACAGTAATAGGATAGCCTGTTTAGGTTATGCCTGATTATATGAGCTTAGCATCGCATGCTAGTACAGTTTCTCGTTATGAGGATAGATATGCTTGAGTAGTTTCTTGTGTCTGGATGCTGCTTGCTTTGTGCTTTGTGGGACTCTGAGTGATGGGAGTTAGCCATTAGGTGAATACGTCACATGTGATAGTATTCAGGTGATGGCTAATTGGCATTACAAGGAGGCCTTCAGCAGCTGAGGACTGGTTTGGGTGGAGTCAGAGATTTCCCTAGGGCAAGCCTAGGATGAGAGTAGTGCTGGGAGCAGTGTTAGTAGTAGTGAAAGGGACTTGGTGAAGTTGAAGCAACCCTTAAGGAAAGTACGGATAGATGTGGAAGGTAGTATGGGCCCGTACTACTGGAAGCAGAGGATCCGTACTCGAGTCAAGGAGGGCCGAGATGGAACCAGGAATCTTGGATGATGTGTGAGACCTCTCGGGGTATGTTTTGATCCGGACATTTATGTGTTTATCTCCAGTATGGTGACCACGCGACATGGAGCAGGAGGCTCAGGATCTGGATCAGGATCGGGCTCGGGCGCGGGATCCGAGCAAGTTGATGATGGATTATGCGAGTTCATCGCGTCTGAGATTACGAGAGGCATCCTTGAGGCGACCCCGGTCATTTTCGGGTCGATCAAGGAGGGGATCATTGAGCTGATGGAGGATCGCCTCCGAGCTTTCAGGAGTGATTTGGCGTCTGGCCAGGTGAGTACGCGCACACTGTCCTTCAAGGACTTCAGAGGGAGTGGTGCGCCGGATTTTCACGGGGTGAAGGACCCCATTGCTGCCAGGAGATGGATCGCAGACATTGAGTCTGCACATTTGACGAGCTTCTGCCCGGAGGGGTCGAAGGTTCGCTTTGCGGCGAGATGTTTGAGAGACAGAGCTAGAGATTGGTGGGAGTCGGTTGGTGACTCATTGGGAGCCTCGGTAGTCGAGGCTATGACCTGGTCAGACTTTGTGACCAGGTTTAGGGCGGAGTTTGCACCGGTGGTGGAGCTTTAGCAGCTGGCCAGAGAGTTCCTAGACATGTGACAGACGACAGAGTCGGTGGCGGAGATTACCGCCAAGTTTCGAGAGAGGGCCTTATTGGTGCCTCAGTATGCAGTGGATGATGAGATGCAGAGGACCCGCTATCATGACATGTTGAGAGCTGATATTCGGGAGCATGTCAGCTTCTCGGCATGCCCGACCCTGGACTCTATGATTGCTAGGGCGCAGGAAAGGGAGATTGATTTGGAGCACATTGCGAAGAGGAGGTCGGATCAGACGTATACTTTGGAGGGTCTCGGGAAGAGACCCAAGACTTCATATCAGCGATTAGTAGGTCGGCAGGTCCGAAGTCAGTGCAGCACGTGCGGGAAACCACACGAGGGAGTTTGTTGTTCCAGGGGTTCAGGCTGCTACAAGTGTGGCAGTGATGGTCACGTCAGCAGGGACTGCCCACAGGGGGCAAGCCCATTATGTTTTCACTGCAATCAGGTGGGACACAAGAAGGCCGACTGCCCGACGGTGAGGGGAGGAGCAGGGAGTGCGTCTGCCCCGACAACTTGAGGATTACGGATGGGTGAGAGGGTAGGGCCTTGTAGTGACAGATGAGGGAGATCTGGATTACAGCAGGGAATGTTGCAGGTACGTATCTATGGCTATTTTCGATTCTATGTGTATTAGGGTTGTTCTTACCCCGGACTCAGGTAATAGTATGTATGAGTTGTCTCTCTGCTAGTATTCGGATTGTATTTTCAGAATTGTCATATGCCAATTGCATATCGGGAGCTATTAGTAGCTAGTGTAGGGTCATCCCTCACTTCGGGTTCGAAGTGTCCAGTATTATCTCAATTATGACCAAAGCGGTTCAGGCGCGTTGCGTGGAGGTTGGTGGACAGAGTCCATGGAGTAGCCCTCCACCATCATTAGGGTTTGGTGGTTCTAGTCGTGGTACTTGGGATAGCTTTTGGAGGCATCAAGGGAAGTGGTCTATCACTGATATGGTTGCTCTGAGCATTAGTTATTCGGACCTTAAGGGCATTAGTTGGAGCTCAGGGGATTATCAGTATCGGGGATGCAGGAGGTGTTCATCTAGTATTCGGTAATCGTACAGTATTTGGAGCGGACTAGTGATGGATCGCTAGCGGCATCAAGGCGATGCTATTTATCATGCCTTTTGTGCAAGGGAGGAAGGAATGGAAATCCTCGGGTTTACGCGTGCAGTAAAGACTTAGCTGAAGCTAAGTGGAGGAGAAACAATCATGTTATGGGAGCAGAAGCGGTTTTGAAACTAGGATAAGTTCCGCTCTCCTGTCAGGAAGAAAGACGGCCCAGGTGGCTGTATGAATTGAGGACAGTGTGAATTGGAAGTTTGGAAAACTTGCCAATTGTGAGACCTCATTCTCGAGATGTCTGGTAGCAGATTGCAGAGAATCAGTTGGGAGTTCCAGTTGGGACATGAGTACCACTTGGGGGTACTAGATTGTGCTTGTATGCTCGACTATGGGTTAGTCGTAGCATCCACTAGCAGCTAGTCGGTGTGGAAAGGTGTTGTCAGACTACCGGATGGCCGTAGCATTCACCAGTGGTCAGATAGTAAGAAGAGTGTGGTAAGACTGCGGTGTGGCCCGTAGCATTAGTTTAGTAAGACTGCGGTGTGGCCCGTAGCAATCGTATGTGAGGATAGTTAGACTGCGGTGTGGCCCGTAGCATTAGTTTAGTAAGACTGCGGTGTGGCCCGTAGCATTAGTTTAGTAAGACTGCGGTGTGGCCCGTAGCAATCGTATGTGAGTATAGTTACGCTGCGGTGTGGCCCGTAGCACTGGTTTAGCAAGACTGCAGGGTGGCCCGTAGCTTTAGTTGGCTGGCAGCGCAGAAGTGTTGTAAGACTATGTGGGTGGCCGTAGCATTCACTAGTTGACAGAACGAGTATAGTAAGACTACAGGGCGGCTCGTAGCATTCGTCGGTCCCTATTCGCTAGTGCGAATGTATCAGGTGTGTGATTCAGTGGCAGGGTTTTTCAGATAGTTAAGTTCAGTACGAGGCAGCCGCCCGGATGTGAGAGGGCCACATTATGGTTGGGTCCGGAAGATGGTAGGTCATTGGAGACCAAGGGTAAACCCCTTGCGAATCAAGGGTAAGTGTATCAGGAGTATCGGTATGATTACCGGTTGGATAAAAGTGTTGTACTCGAAGGTAGTAAGTAACGGGTTATTCTGAAGATGACATCTTCAAGGTTTGGATCGGGTGGGCGGAGTGTGTACCTTGTGGTAAAGTGGCAACCAGATGGTAAGGTAGTTGGCCGTGGCAGACTTCGAGGACGAAGTCTAGTTTAAGTGGGGGAGTGTTGTAACACCCAGAATCAGAAAGACCAAGAAAAGAAAGGAAAGGCTCTAAGTCAAGAGTCAACTCGTCGAGTCCAGGGAGGAACTCGACGAGTCGGAGCGGGATCCGGGGCATATCCGATAGAGTACCGACTCGGCGAGTCGGCTAGTGGACTCGGCGAGTCTGGTCTGGACGAGAAAAACCCTAATTCCGAGGGTTGTGCCCTATTTAAAGAACATTACATCCCTTCCCCAGCCTCTTTACTCCCCTTTTGAGATCCAGAAATCCTAAATCGTGAGTGAGAGCCCTTGGAAGCAATTTAGAGCCTAGATAAGTGATTTTGGTGGAAAGGGGCTTGAAGATTAAGAGGCTTGCTGCAAAGGAGTGATGTAGATCCGGGATCTACTTCAGTTGGAGCATATATTGGAGGTAATAAGCTGTTGCTTTGGCTTTATTGCAAATAGATCTATCTTATGTTTGAGATTTGGGGCATTTTGGGCATGATTGAGATCTATGTCGAGTTAGAGGCCTAGATCTGAGGTTGCTACCTCAGATCTAGACTTGTGATGGTCCAGAAGGTCATAAAGTTCATGTTAATAAGTTGTTGGTGAAGCCCCTTTGTCTTAAACCCTATCCCTAGAGTGTTTTGGGCCTTTAGCTCCTTGGTTTCACGTAAAGTTTGCAACTTTACGTGGGGGGTAGACTGTAGAAGAGTGGATCTATGGATTGAGCCCCTGCATGGCTCGATAAGCCACTGTATGGATTGAGAACTGGAGAGACTCGGCGAGTCACATGGGTGTACTCGACGAGTTGTATGAATATGTGCATGGACTCGGCGAGTTGTATGAATAAGTCGCAATATTTGTAGTATGATACTGATTTTGGCTCGACTATTTGTCTAATGCACTAATGACATGCCCTATGGTTTGTAATAAATGGGATCTTAAACATTTTCTTGGATTGGCTAATACCCACATGACATATATAAGTCGGTTCATAACAACTTGTTTTTGAACTAACATAAATGATTGTGTTAATCTTCTTTCGTTTATGTTTTTTAATCAAACTAACATAAAGAAGCATAAACAAATGAACGACAAATAAAAATAAGTGAACATATATGAACATAAACAAATAAACGAATGAAAATAAGCGTAAACATCGTAATCAATAATGATAAAACTTGATCACCAACTATTTGATATGTTGATCATACTTAGTGGTCCTACATTTGATATTTTTACCAAATCCACAAGATATAAAACCTAAGCTAATTTTAAAAACTCGACGTCAACAATGGTCATGGTCCTGGTCTTGGCCCTGCCCTGTTATTGGTCCGTGCATAACTTAGAAGTACACTACTACAAAGAAGCTTATAGGACCCGATTATATCAGTTAAATAACCCGGTTTTCAACCGAGTCCTATTGTCGGCGAGTCTTATGTGAAAAATGGAATAAAACCCGGTTTCAAAACCGGGTTCTATCAATAGTAAAAGGTAACGATATCAGAGTCCACAAAACCAAGCCACACAAGGAGATTTGGACATGGTTATGCAACATAAAACCGGGTCATATAAGGAGATAAGACCCAGTTCAAATACTCAAAACCGGATCACATAACGATCACATCTACACCGGTTCCATTCTAATAACCAGGTCATTTAAAGAAGGTTGATTCTTGTAAAAGAAAGCTGATTTTTTTATAATAGTTTTCTTATGAAATAACCAACAAACTGTACATCCAAAATTAAATTATGTTATAAATAACCACCAACACAACTGAAACTTACATCCAAAACACATTCAATACAAAAAAGTATGCTTTGATAAAGAAGTTATGCTAATGTAGACATGTTAGATAACCAACCATTAGTCATTGATATAAACTGATATAAACATGTTTGCATGTCACAAAAAAATCCTTGATTTGGTCATGTCTTACTACATAAAACTTACAAAAAATTCAAAAAAAAAGTTGTTATCCCATCGAAGTAGGATTGTCCCATAATCAAGAGTAGTTGTTATCCTCCATTCTTACTGAAAAACAAACATAACAAAGAATCAATTTTGTCTAATATTTCAAAATGGTTAAATTTAACAAACAATAATTAAACTAAAAGTAGGATGCTATAAAGATTAACAACTAACCTTATATGCACTTTTAAACATCATTCATAAAATTATTCAGAAATTCTCCGGCCCAAATAGCAACAGTCGTAACCAACACCTTTTCTTCTGAGGGAGCCTGTTCATTCCAAAGGGTACCAAACTATATGAAATATTAAATTAAAATTCATGAAAAAGTGAATAACATAACAGATAGTTTCTTGATACAGACAAAATGAAAAAAAAAATTTAAAAAGTACTTACTCTATTTGCGAATCCATATTGTCTGGTCATTAGAAACTCAAACATCCAATAAACATACAAATTTGCAATTTTAAAACAAATTTGCTAACTACGAAAGTCCGGTACTATTTTGTAAATTTTCTAAAACATAGAGACCAATACTATACATTTGTATAACACAGGGACCAATTCAGCAAAAAAATCTTATATGGACCATTTTTGTAAGAAAAAAAATCTTATAGGGACCATTTCTGTAATTGCTTCAACACAGGTACCATTCATGTATTTGTGTCTTACAAGAATCATGCATGTAAATGTTTTAGAGACACAGACTATTCATGTTGATAAACAGAGTAAGTGAAACATTAAGCCAAACCTTAAGTTATTTTTTAACAAATGTAGTAAAATGTGGCATTAAAATAAATCTAATGTTAAAAGAGTTAATAAGGCTAAAGTGTAGCATAAATAGGGGGCATTTAGTCATGTTATATACATACGTATAAGGCAATTTTCATTTCTAGTTTTGAGAAGTCTTTTATTGTTTCCTCTGTATGTCTTAACGCACAAACATATTCAATAAAATGTTACTTAATTTATTTCAAACATGTCATCTATAAATCAAAATTAAAATCCATTTTCATCATAAAAAGTAAACACCATGAGTTAATTTATATTAAAATTTTATGGAAAATGACATTTCAAAGTATAATGCTATAATATGAAAAAGTGAAAAAGGGATGCTATAATAAAGGATTACCTTTATCGCATCTAAAGCATCCAATGTCGATGTTGATCCACAACTATTCTTTTGAACAACAATGCATACATAAGCTAATGAACGCTCACTTTTTATCTCATGCAACAGTGGCGGCAGCTCACCCGATGCTATCTACTGTTCCCACTTAGGTTTGTTGCCCTGATAACCATGCGGACCTAATCGGGCTGGATTTGTATTAAACTACAAACTCATCTTTGCTTTCTCACTTATTATCTGCCAATAAAAGTAACAACCACAATTATAAAATGGCAACATAATAATTAATATTACCAATAGACATTATAGTCCTACAATTAAACCTGGAATTCCTTTGATGATATCATCTCATTAAACTTTTGCAATGCAATCTTCTCCATATATATAAGTAGGTTTCAAGTGGATTTCGCTTATGCTCATTTGCTAAGAAATTCTTTTCAACCCTCTTCTTGAATGATCTCCACTTCTCGTTGTAAGTCTTAAGCATATTTGTTTTGCGTTTATCATCACAAATATTCCAACACTTCTGTTTTTGTTTTGAAAAAAGAGTAATTATTAGTAACATATACTAATTAAATGAAAGCACATATAATGTGTTTGAGATAACAAACTTTTATGATCGATAAGTTATCTTTTTCATTCCCTGGTACGTTCTTCCAAGTCGGATATTCGATAGAAATTAACTTGCTCGTAAGAACACCGCAGTTCGTTGGCAAACTTATTTTGTTTATCGCCACAATCCTGACCAATATTGTTGAACTCAACTTCTTGTGGCTCTATTATAGACTTATTATATCCATTAGACATGTGGCTGTTTTTTTCCCTTGGTTGTGGTCATGGCTCTGGTTGTTGATCTAGATGATCTGCAAAAGGCACAATTACATACCTGAACAGATTACAAAAATAGTTCAACATGGTATCATAATGCTTACGTGGCTTGGTTTAGGTATTAGATTTAAAAATAAAAATATATAATACATTAGTTCTTATTAAAAGATAAAGCCTCTTAGATTCAAAAATAAACAATAACATATTTTAAATAATCTGGAATATGTTTTCATTTGCCTTTATTTGCAGTTGATTAGGATAGGGCTGAGTTTCTTTGTTCCATTTGATCTACAGATTTTGTGTTATCCTCTTAACAATATTGATGTATTCCTGGAATACAATTAATATCAAATAATATCAAACATTAGTCATCCAACATAAGTGTAAGATGTGAACACGGAACTAATTGTCAAATAAGAAGAAGAAAAACAAAAAGTTTTCAAGAAATAAAACAGAAATCGCTTTGAAGAAGAATAAGAAGAAAACATGTACATGTATTAAAGATATTAGAAGAGTAACAAGAAGCCCCCTTTTCTTTTGGAAGAAAAGGTATCAGAATTATATCAATTACTTCACTGGCCCAAATGAGAATTTGCAAGTATTCCGATAACAAGTAAAGTCTATGGATTCTCGACTTAGAAATCAACAAAGACAAGGATGTGAATAAGAACCAAACAACTTTAGTAATACAAGATTTTTGTCATCGATAATCAAAACACTCGAAGCTATAACAATCAATGGGTATAATAAAAACAAATACCAATTAGTAAACTTACAAAGTACAACACCAATAGAAATGTGGAGTCGTCTAGACGATCCAGTACTGCTACACTAGCAATGATTTGGCGAGCAAGCTAGTGATATGAGGAACGAGATAGGTTTAATCTAGGAGAAAAGAAAGGTCTAACGCATGGATGTGGTGGTCGACACGATGAAGTGGAGTCGTCGGTTGAGGCACAAGAGAAGGCTTTGAGGCGAAAAATCCCTCAAAATCCTCGGTTGCTGCAGTAGAGAAGAAGAGGAGTAAAGAAGTACGTAGTGGTTTGGGTTCTAATCGATTGGACCTCAAATATGGTGGCGGGATATCAAATTTTCATGGAGGGTTATTGAATTTTCATGGCGCCGGGATATCCAAAATTTTACCTAAAAATAAGTCAACCAAAATCTTTACATATTTTTGGCATAAATTTGCACCGGTACAAATGATAGGCATTTCCTTTTTTAAAAGGAGTATTTATTTACTTTTTCATCCAACCAATTACCGGACTCTTTTATTTTCTAATTTGCATTATATATTCATTAAATAATTTTGTTATTTTTTCATGTGCCTATGTTCTTAATTATGAAAGCATACTAAAATAATACTGATTAGCTTTTTAAGCAAAAATAAAAACAAATCGGAACCAGATAAAGTATCGATTATAAAATATCAGTAGTTTATTGTCCGAGTTATTGGTCCGTGCATAACTTAGAAGTAATTATGAAATATATATATATATATATATATATATATATATATATATATATATGTAATTAATCATGTATAACTTACGTAGTAATTACAAAATATACATAATTAATTCCAAAGTTGAACTCTTTGATTTGTAAGAACATAAACGCCAAAGTTACGAATCAGAAACATTATAAATTTCAATGAACATTCCCAACATATTTCATAAACCATTCTAAAACAGCAACATATTTTATAAAGGTGGAATTCCGTATATGCCCTTCGTAAACAACTAAATATCGTATTTGCTCGGTCTAAAATCTAAATATCATATTTGCCTTATTAATGTTTTATAATATCATATATACCCAAATGTATTTTTTTGTTAATTTTTATTGATTTATAATCCTTTTTTATAACCTTAAATCATTATAATTGACAATAAATATTAAATGGACAATAATGCCCTTACTTGTAAATTCCAATACACAATACTTACGATCGTTGCTTCCTATCTCACCTAAATTCTGATCGTTGCTTCCCTGTCATTACTTCCGATCGCAGCTTGCTTCCCCTGTAATTCACATCACACTCATGCATCAGGTAAACAAAATGTGACCTATTATTTTCAATCATCTGGAGTGCGAATTTCGTTTTTAGGGTTCCTAGTCTCAATTGTTCAAATTCTTTTTACAATTAGCTTAGTTATGTTGTATTTGAGAGCTTAGTTATGTTGGCTTTCACTGATTTTGTCATTGATTCGTCATCTTGTTCATCCAGGTTATGCAATTGTTCATCCGATGTACTTAATGTCCCAAGCCTGACAATTCTCATTAATCTCTTCGTGTTCCAGACTGATACGTTTTTGGGATTTAGAATATGGAGGTGATCAATTGTTATGCCCTGTTCTTTTTCATCGTTTCTTGATGCCGACTGGTTGGGGTTGTAATCCTCCACTCCCTATCATTTTACCAAATTTTGATGGAAAGACAACTTCCCTAAAATTTGGAGGTAAGTTAGCACCTGCGTTTTGAAGCCTATGGAGTTCTGTGAGTATCTTATCTTCTTCTATTTTATTGTTTTGGATTTCAGCCAATGGTGGGCATGAGAGTCAAGCACTTGAAGCGCATGCAACATCATTTTCCTCTTTCAAAGTACCCATATTTACTTTAATACTGCAACTGAAAAAAAGATAGTTGTTTTATATATTTATTCATATTGTAACCGGTTGCATAAAGTTGATCGGATATTTATACATTTTAAATAGTTCTCTGGAAATGATAATCCTTCTATTCTTATTTCTTTTGCCACCAAAAGCTCCAAGTTTTCTGACATCTAAAGCTTCATCAGTTGGGGGTTTCTATGATGTCAATAGACGTGGGCAGGTCTTACTTGCCACTGCAAAATTGAGCCTTTTGTTAGTGGACAGGTAAGTTCTTAAAGTCATTTCATCATCGACCAATTTCACTATTTTATTACTATCAGAATCTTAATTTGATGTGTTAATGCAATTAAACAACCTCGAGCTTGCTATTAATCTTGAAAAAAGAGGAAACCTACCTGGTGCATCATTGTCCGATTACCTGATGTGTATTGCTTGTGTGCGGCAACAAGGGAGAACAGGAGGTTGCTCCTATGTATTAAGAGTTTGCGATAGGGAAGAAGCCAGGATGTGAGATAGGGAAGCCCAACGAATTTGTGATCGTAACGAGCCTCAACACATGTGATCTATTGTATTGAAATTTAGAACTCATCATGAGGAATTAAATGAATTAAACCTCGTCTGAAGGCCAATGAATTAAAACTATGATTTGTAAATGAAGGGCAATATTGTCCATTTGATTGTTGTTTTTAGTTTTAATGATTTAAGATTATAAAAAAGGATTATAAATCAATAAAAATTAATAAAAAATAGATTTGAGTATATATGATATTATAAAACATTAAGAAAGACAAATACGATATTTAGAGTTTAGGCTGGGTAAATACGATATTTAGTTGTTTAGCAATGACATATACGAAATTCCCCCTTTTATAAAATCATGGCAAGACTTACATTATCACTGTGCTTCATTGGCTTTTTCTTGTGCCTCATTATGTGCACCAATTCCGTGCAAGTAAGATATATATAAAAAAAACTCATTATTATTGTACTAACAACTTAAAAAGTATTTTAGATTGGAAAATATTATGATAATATTTTATGGAATTATGATGTTTTTGTTTTTGTTGTTTTGATAATGGATAGGGGAAAACTTGGTGTGTAGCTCAAAGCCAGGCTACCGAACCGAAGTTGCAACAAGTTCTTGACTATCGTTGTGGACAACTCGACTGCAAGGAGATTCAACCTGGAGGATCATGCTTTAACCCTAACACTGTGCGAAATCATGCGTCTTATGCTATTGATCTTAACTTTCAAATTAACGGTGTATGCGATATTAGTTATGCTACTCCTGCTGTCACAGATCTGATAGCTCCATTTTATTTACTTCTTTTTATAGTTTTTTTAGCACATTTCATTCGCATTTTAGTTAATTTCCATGCATATTTTCCTTTTTGTTATTTTTATGACCATTTCGGGTATTTTCTAGTTTCTTGAGCATTATTGCAGATTTTTTGAAGACTAGCGGAGCGGGACTCTTGGGAGGCAGTTGGGCTTGAAGGGAAATGGGGATTTCATGCTTGATGGCTATGGAGGTGATTCATGGAGTGGGCTTGTCAATTGCTTGAAGGCTTGGAAGATTTGAACTTTAAATTTGCAAGGCGCGGGAGAATTTTCGAGTGTGCGGAGGCTGATGATCGGGCGATTACAAGAGCTTTGGAGGATTTGGAAAAGTCAAATTGGGCTCAAATTGAAGAGAACTTGAAGAAAAATGGGCTAGAAGCAGATTGGATTCGAACTGGGCCAATGGATTAGCTGTGGGGGCCCAAGACTTGAAGAAGCCCAAAAATTTCCGTCGAAGTCACGCGGCCCGCGTAAGATTCCCCGCGGCCCGCGTGGATTCCTGACAAGGGCAATTTCGGGATTTTACTTAGAGCTCTATATTGGGAAGGTTGGTGTGCCTCTTTAGCCTCTTCTTGGAGGTCCGATTTTGATGCTTTCTGTCTGGAGTTTGGAGCATTTTTGAAGGCCAAGAACCCTCAAGAACTTCACCATTTCATCTCTTAATTCTTGCTAAATGTTTGGTACAATCTTAACTAACTTTGTTTCCTTGAGTTTAGTCATGCTTGGCTAAACTAATCTTGGTTGACTTTTGTTGAATCCTTTGAACTTTTGTTGAATATTGAAGAATCCATGAATTTGTGTTTGAATCTTTATGAAAATGTTTTGTGTTTTAACATCTTATCATTACTTGCATGTTTTTATTCATGAGTTCAAATGTGTTTGTGGTGATTAGTTGGCTAATTTCTTGATTAAGTAAAGGATCTTCAAATTAGCAAGCAACAAGTGATTCTTGTGTTAGTTTTACTTCACACAATCATAAAAACATTTTCTCCAACATGGTGGTGAAAGCATTTGACCCCTCTTGGATTTGGTGACTTTTTTGGTTCTTAATGCTAGTTGACTTTCACTAATTACATGCTTAATGGAATTAGTGACTTTAACTAAGGAAATTGTTATGAGCTTCTCTAACCATTTCAACAATTAAGAAAAGTCTAGGTAATCTCAAGCTCCTTGGATTACTATAGCCAAATTAAGGGTTTAAAACAAGTATTGCACCATTTGATTCTAATGATATGTTCATCAAAAGTCAAAGTGAGGAACCTTAAGTCAACCATCCTTCTCTTATTGATTTTACATCAAACTCTTATTTTTGTTGAAATTGTCTATTTAAATCTTAGTTAATTCTAGTTTGTTTCAAGTATTTCAAAACACCAAAACCCCCCGTTTTAATTTATTGTCATTTTCCAAGTATTTTTACAAAGAGATTTTTCATAGAGTTATTAAATTGAACCAATCCCCGTGGATTCGATCCCTTTACCACTATACACTATTTTAGTGTGTAATAATTAGGGTTATTAATTTTGTTGGCCTCGACAACCACCAAATTTTGTTGGCCTCGACAACCACCAAATTTTAGTGTGTAATAATTAGGGTTAAATATGATTTGATGGATTTTGAAAATAAATTTGAAAAAAGACTGAAATTAAGGTTATGATGTTATCCTTTTTTGGATTAAACATCGATAATATGGTTTTTTGTAAGACTTCTGTAAAGTTTATTTGCTTCCATTAATTTGCAATGATGTGTATACTACTCAAATGATTTTTGAGTTTGAGGCGACCTTCAAATAGTTTGGAGGGTTATTCATGAAAATTAACATTTTTTATTGATACACACACACACACGAGAGAGAGAGAGAGAGAGAGAGAGAGAGAGCGCTTAACACCTGTGGAACTTCTGTGAAAAACCAAAGAAGGATGTTACCCAAATTTCATTTACCTTGTTAGATCAAGTAATTAGAGCCACTTTTGAAGAACACAAATTCACATGTCCATTAAATTATACTGATGAAGTTTATTTTGAAGCTAGTGTATAAAAGATGCCTAAAATATTGCCAGTGCACTGCAATTTACGTTATATGTGATGAACATATAGTAGGTTCCGTGTGGGCCATCAAGATGGTGAGAATTTTTGTTAATTATGTATCTATTTGATATAGATTTGAGACGAAGAGGAATACTAATAGTTGAGAGGTGGAATTCGTAAGAAAGGTCCATGGTTACCGGGTTCAAACGATCACTTAAGAGATGAAAAAAAAGCTCAAATCTCTGTTAAACCTCCATGCATGTGACAATTACATAAGAAAGGTCCATGGTTACAGGGTTTAAACGATCACTTAAGAGATTAGAAAAAAGCTCAAATCTCTGTTAAACCTCCATGCATGTGACAATTACATAATTTTTAGTACGGATAATAATGTTTTAGCATAGTTTTTTTGTTTTATGTGCTCTCAACATTCACTTACACACAGATGCACACACAGAGAAATACATACATGCAAATACCACATATTTTTTCAATTATTGTTGCATTAAAATTTTAATTTATTCTTATCATGACATAAGTAAGTTACTAATTCGTGCACTTAACCCAAGAATAAGTTTATGGTCCAATTTGTTCCAATTGTCTGGGTGGGACAATAAGTCGCAATATTTGTAGTATGACACTGATTTTGGCTCGACTATTTGTCTAATGCACTAATTACATGCCCTATGGTTTGTAATAAATGGGATCTTAAACATTTTCTTGGATTGGCTAATACCCACATCATTTCATTATATACTTATAAAGGAAGCATTTTTCCTTTTACCACATTCATTTGAAACTCTCATTCTTTTTTCCTTTCACCACATTCATTTGAAACTCCCATGACTTTTCAATTTCTTTATAATAATAATAATAATTTGGTAAATTAGGTTAAATAAATATCAAACATAAAGTGTAACCATATATAAACTAAATTTCAATATTAAAATAATATCTTTACTTCTACTTATAAAATTATGTTTTTTAAATTTAAACATATTATACTTAATTTATTAGTTTTAATATATTCTTGGATGTAAACCATTATCATTTTAAAGGTATAATTTTTGAACAATTTGTATAAAATAGTTAAATTATTAATTAAAATATAACATTACAGGGTCAACTTAAATATAAGTTTTAGTTTAACTTAAACAACCCAAAGAATATTTTATAAATAGTTAAAAGTGATAAATTATAGTGTCTTTCTAATAATGATTATCAGATGTATAATAAGCTCAAATAAATATCAAACCTAAAGTGTAATCATAAATAGACTAAATTTCTATTTTAAAATAAAATCTTTACTTCTATATTGAAAGTTATGACTTTAAATTTTAACATATTATACTTAATTTATTAGATTTAAAATGGTGTTGTATGTAAACCATTATCAGTTTAAAGCTACAACTTTTGAACAGTTTGGACAAAATACTTAAATTGTTAATTTAAATATAACATTACAGTGTCAACTTAAATATAAATTTCAGTTCCACTAAAAAAAGCAAAGAATATTTTGTAAATAGTTAAAAGTGAGAAATTTTAGTGATAAATGGAAAAACTAAATTGTAATATCAATTTAACTAAAATATTTCCTAAAGATAGTTTTATAATCGTTAAAAAAACTTTTCAAATAAGTAGCTTAAAATAAATTACAATAACAATAGTTAAAAATAACTCTATATAAATGATTATATTGTTACCTTTAAAATTAAAAAATAATGTTTGGTGTTTAAATAATTATAATGATAGAAATTAAAACATTAAACAAATAAATTTTAAAAAATTAGTTAACAATAACAACAACTATAAATAATATTAAACCATATATAATATTTAATTTTATTAATGTGTAACTCGCGGGTAGAAGTCATTCAAATGATTAAGATTATGACGCTATAATAGATGTATATATTATCATATAATTCAAAATAATCAATATATTATATCAATTTAGTATACGAATTATTATATTAAATTTAACAACAACGTTAGTGTTATATTTAAAAAAAACATATATTTTGTAAATACTTCAATTATATAGGTGTTTCTGCGCAACGCGCGGACATTCGCCTAGTGACATATATAAGTCGGTTCCTAACAACTTGTTTTTGAACTAACATAAATGATTGTGTTCATCTTCTTTCGTTTATGTTTTTTAATCAAAGTAACATAAAGAAGCATAAACAAATGAACGACAAATAAAAATAAGTGAACATATATGAACATAAACAAACATATAAAACGTAAACAAATAAACGAATGAAAATAGGCGTAAACATCGTAATCAATAATGATAAAACTTGATCACGAACACTTTGATATGTTGATCATACTTAGTGGTGCTACATTTGATATTTTTACCAAATCCACAAGATATAAAACCTAACCAAATTTTAAAAACTCGACGTCAACAACGGTCATGGTCATGGTCATGGTCATTGTCCGAGTTTTTGGTCCGTGCATAACTTAGAAGTAATTATGATATATATATATATATATATATATATATATATATATATATATATATATATATATATATATATGTGTGTGTACATGTAATTAATCATGTATAACTTACGTAGTAATTACAAAATCTACATAATTAATTCCAAAGTTGAACTCTTTGATTTTTAAGATGATAAACGGTTACGAACCAGAAACATTATAAATTTCAATGAACATTCCCAACATATTTCATAAACCATTCTAAAAGAGCAACATATTTTATAAAATCATGGCAAGACTTACATTCTCACTGTGCTTCATTGGCTTTTTCTTGTGCCTCATTATGTGCACCAATTCCGTGCAAGTAAGATATATATATATATATATATATATATATATATATATATATATATATAACTCATTATTATTGTACTAACAACTTAAAAAGTATTTTAGATATGAAAATATTATGAAAATATTTTATGGAATTATGATGTTTTTGTTTTTGTTGTTTTGATAATGGATAGGGGAAAACTTGGTGTGTAGCTCAAAGCCAGGCTACCGAACCGAAGTTGCAACAAGTTCTTGACTATCTTTGTGGACAACTCGACTGCAAGGAGATTCAACCCGGAGGATCATGC